AAACTTCTGAATGTTACAAAAATGTTTCTAACATGCCAACTCTTTGAAAGACAACGCACAATAATAAAGATGTTTAAAATGAGTTTTTAAAATTTTGCACTTATTTGAATATCATATTATACAATTGCGGAGCACCGCATTTAGATTTCCGATGCAAAAAATAAAAAATCCTCCACTTGGATTGCAACTGTGACAGAATTTCACGAATAATGAGACAACAATTAAAAGGTGAAAATTAATTGAAACGTGTCAAGATTTCTCTATTCATGTATCGCAGAAAACCACCACAATATAGCAATCGCCCATTTACGACTTGGAGGGTTTCGTCAGAAGATGAGAGGGTTTCGTCAGAAGATGATCAGTTGCAAATTTCCTCATCTGGCAACATTTGCAAGCTTCTGCAATTTTATCCGGCAAGCTCTTATAAAAAACTATGAACAGAGGAGAAATCGACTAGTTCTCCAAGAACACACAGATGAATAGGAAGGATTTCATTAATCCTGAAAATTCAAACTTTAAACCGTTGATTTAATCCAAAATTCAATTCAAACGATACTTCAACCCGCAGAAAAGGATTACGGTTTAATCTCCGCGCGTTTGATTCTTGGAGATGACATTTGATTAAAACATTTAGTTCTGGTGAGTTGGAAATTCAGAATACTGTAAATACTGTCAAGTTCTACCAAAATGGTTCAGAGTTGCCGCTTGGCAACTCTGAAACTCCAGAAATTCCGTCTTATTTCAATCACCTGACATCAATGATCAATGGATAAAAAAAAGGAATCTCTGAACGCATTTTAAAACGGTTCGCAGTAGTTTGAAAAAAAATTAACCAACGAAAAATTCCTCGAATTGCATTTATTGAAATGCGCAAAACTAGTTCATAATCAACTCAGTTGGCAGAAAAAAAAAACTATACGTTCAAGGCAAACTGAAATTGTTCTAATGTCTGACTTGAATGAACGCAATAAATGAAACAGCATTAATCAAATTCAAAGCGCGATAAAGGGGAAAAAGGGAATCATCTAGGTCAAGGAAAACCGCGTTTCCAGCCTTTCACGAGATCTCAAGAGGTAACCGCTTGTAAAAGCATTTGCAATGCAATACACAACAAGCCACGAGACCATCATGCAACTTCTACAGGAATGGGATTCCATACCACGTCTCTATTCGCGATTCCCGGAACGTGATACTTCGACATCGTTTTGCGGGCTTCGTTAACGGATGTCCCCTGGGGAACAGTGGAAACGCGCGTCAGTAAAATTCACCGATGATAGCAGATTTATACTATTCGTCGGGAAAATTGAGAAAAAAAAAATAAAACGTACACATGACGCGCCTTTGAAGAACTGCACGGGTCACTTTTTTCAATACCACTAGCTCATGCACAAAAAAAAAATTGTCACGCGTCACGTGATCCAGAAATTTCGATGACGAGGATAGTAGGCGAAGCATCCGAGACATAGAAAGACTAAATTGGAATGTCTATACGTTCTCCTCAGCAATGTAGAATGTTTTGATCGACGAAAAATCGCTATTTTGAACGCAATGGGATCGATCAAGAAAAATTAAATTTCGAACACTATAGAATTGCAGATTTTTAGAACACTGTAATGTATGTCAATTCACGAGAAAGATTTATACAGTAAACGGTAAATCAAGGAAAGCAACTTTCAGTAACCTTGATCATTTCTAATGCAAAGAACCCTTTTACTTCTATTGTAGTGTTCATTTTAACAACAGGATTAACAATCCCTCATTTACGAGCAGTGTGTCTAGCCAAACCTCGGCGTCATGAACACACAAATATTTTACAAATATATTTTTAAATTAGGCCCATGTAAAAAAAAAACCACCAGAAATTTCAAACTTGTGCTCAATTAACCGTCATAAGCAGGGGCATTTATCCATGACGATGTGTTTACAATAGAACTGATCATTATCATCCAAGCTTCAATAAAACAAGATAAGATTCCACAAAATTCGTCGAAAAACATTATAACATTACAATTATTCCTACAAATAACTCTTAGATGGAGAATTAAAGTGAAGAATTTTTCTTCGTAGATGAGGATCAAAATACAAGAACAAAACAAAATTCTTCGCTGATACCCAAAAAGTTGAATTCTACGAATAAATAAGATCAATTAAAAAATTTTCTGTATGAATATGGCGTGGCGTGGGACTTACTATCTAGATCTCTCTTACGGAATAAAAAGGTGGAAGGACATAAGGCACCAAAACACATTTAGAAAAATGCGAAACTGGTGCGACACAAAAGTCACATGCTGCTTGTTCATTACTGAATGAACGACTTCGCAAATAATTCCTTTTGAATATCCGTCATAAACTTCACGAAAAACATGGAATAAAAAATTCGAATAAACTCATTCCTACAGCACCATAAAAACGATCGGAAGAGTTTCAATTGAAACAATGAGTATATGTGAACTTCAGACAAGGAAATGGTGTAACGAAAAGCTTGTCTATGCCTTGGACGCAACGAATTTTTGGGGGAAAAGTGAAAGAACTCACTTGAAGTCTCACAACGATCGGTAACTTCAAATTGAGTTCCTGTGCTGCAGCAATGATTCCCTCAGCAATCACGTCACACCTCATAATGCCGCCAAATATATTGACCAAAATCGCAGTGACTTTCGGATCCGCCGTGATGATTTTGAAAGCTTCTTTCACCTGGGCCGACGTCGCACCGCCTCCAACGTCTAGGAAGTTGGCGGGATCACCACCATGAAGTTTGATTATGTCCATGGTGGCCATGGCTAACCCTGCTCCATTAACCAGACAACCAATGGATCCGTCCAAAGCTATGTAATTCAACTGGTGGTGCGCAGCTTCGACTTCCTTCGGGTCTTCCTGTGTCCAATCACGTTTCGCAAATACCTCTTTCTGGCGGAACTCCGCATTGTCATCGAAGCGCAGCTTTGCATCAAGACACAGAACTGAAAATCGATTGAAATTCGATCAAGTTTCACACCGCGAAAGAATGCTATCTTATAACGACATTTACATAGCTTTTCCGTATTCTATTTGTATGACTGCAAACCTTAAGGTTTAGAAGATTAGAACCTTCACTGCTATGTTTGTATGCCCATGCATCAATGCCAGTATTGCATTCGCGCACTTCAGTTGTCAGCGTAAATTAAATTCATGGATGAGATGTTACTCGAAAGGTTACCGAACAACACTGCTAAAATGTCAACGTATTCCCCAAAGATTTCTGAATATGCAATGAGCAGCTATTGTGAAAAAATTTAGTAAATGTTCGAAAAATTACAGCACTGCATAGGAATTGAGATGTCGCACTGGAATGTAACACAAAGCGGTAGATGATGATATACTGAAGCAACACCAGGAAACGAATAAAATCTCACCTTTTCCCTTGTTATCCACAGCGACCGGATTAATCTCAATCAACGTCATATCGTATTTCAAAAACATGTCGTACAAGCGCTGGAAACATGACGCCGCTTGAGAAACTGCGCCTTCCTCAAACCCCAATTTTTCAGCTAGATCCTTAGCAACATCATCAGGCATTTTAGAACAGATGTCGATCGGTACTTTGAAGATTTTATCTGGATGTTCGACAGCAACTTCTTCAATGTTCATTCCACCCATAGGAGATGCGATCGCAACAGGGCCCTGATGAAGAAAAGGACGACGCAACACTCACCTCTTGTCAAGGGACCATAACCAGTACACTACAGTATTACTTCAACAACCCTATCAAGATGTACAGTAAAGGATGTAGGTGCTTCACTTAAGTCTTATCAATAGTTCATTTGTGGGGGTTTCTCAGGATTAGCTCACAACGAGTCATACATGTAATTGGGTTAGCGAACGCAAATCGAAGGTTCATCCTTCAAGAAATTTACGCACAACACAGCATACCCTTCCAATAATCTTGACGATAAAAATAGAATTTCGCGGTATTTTTGAAATAAATGACAGGTGTTTCTCGTCGCCAAGCGCGTCTATATTAAAGGGCTTAAAAAAATTACTCCCATCTTGCCATTCTTAAATTGAATTTAAATATTTTCAGGATCGATCACAAATACATACACAACAAAGCTGATCGGATTTAAAATCTATCACATTACGGGTGCTACTGTCAAAAAAAGAAGTACGGCATGTACAGTTCACTTGACAAAAAAAAAAAAAAAACTTTCGCATAATTGTTTTTCCATTGTTCTCTATCTTTATACGAGAACAATGGAGTACTCATGAGCTATAAAAATCAATTAAGAAAATTGAGTTCTTCAAAAAGTTGAGAATCGTGCATTGTCGGACATAGAAGAGCCACTGAATTCAAATATAGTACTGTAATTCAAGTCAACAAAATTTGTATCGATCGAATAAGAAATTATTCAGTAAATATTGAAAACGAAGATCTCACCCCAAAAGCGCGTTCCAACATAATGGCAAAATAACATTCTTTGTGCTGATACTTCCTCTCGCAAACCAAAACTTCATTACAGACCAATCCTCTCTCCCCCGTTTGTTTCGTCACCAAAACATGACCAAGCATTTTCTCGGATACCGATTTGACGTCCTCAGGCCTGAAAATTGTAACTTTCATAAGAGTATGTCTTCCAATCAGTCACTGGCAAAAGTAATACCGTACGGATCCGATAGGAAACGGACGCGGAAAATTTCGGGTATGATACACAGAACTCGATTTTTTCATCTAAATGAGGCATCTTTGAACGCGTCGGGAACATCGTTCTAATGAAAATTATACGTTTTTTGCACGATATCCTTGGTTTTATAAAACTCAAACCATTGTAGACAACGTGTCTACAATGAGGTAGTACCCGGACATTGGAGATTTACTCCGTCCGATTGAAATTTCACTAGGAGATTGGTTCATACCTCGTATTTCAAGATTACACTTTGAATTCGGTAATTCAGGCGATCGGAATTTCACGAAAAATCTGAGTAAAAGGTACTGTAAGGAAAAATAAATCTTAGCGCCCGGTATTTCAGACGAGTTACGATTACATGGGAGAAACTGAACAATCTTGTTCGCAACGAGCTCGCTTCAATCAAATTAAAAACGTACAGGATAAAACCTTTCAAATCACAAGTACTCACGACAGAACCAGCTGAACTCCACCTTGGGCCCCACCCTTGAATTTTCCTTTGCCTCTACCTCCTGTCAGGACTTGTGCTTTTACAACAAAATCATCCGAACCAAGTGTTCCCTGAAAGGAGCACTCTGCCTTGTAGCCGACATAAGAGGATTCAGAGAGAAAGGAAATAATTCAAAATTAAGCCGTCCACCACAGATAGATTTTTAACGTGCGATTAATGATATGCACACTTTGAGAAGAAGTTTAACTCACTGTGGTGGCGTTGTTGAAAACTAACAATCATAGGACGGTCACACGTGTAACAACACAACGACTGGGACTACCAACTAAGAACACAAACTGAGCAACAAAAAGGAATACATCAACACACTGAAAGTTCAGGTGAGCAGAAACGAGGGAAGATACCTGGAGCTTCTTGGCAATGTCAAATGCCTCTTCTGGGGTCTTCGCAACTCCAAACTTCGGGACAGGAACTCCGTTTTGCTCCATCAGGGTGAAACTAACATTTTCGTGGACGTTGAGGTGACGCTTCGGGATGAACGTTGGCGTAATCCGGGCGTTATTACCCTTCGCAAGCTGCTCAAGAAGCGGCTGAAATCCGAAATACACTTAATACGAAGAACTGGCCAAAAAACGCAATGCGGTTACCTTCGTGGTGATTCGTAAGCCACTGCTGTCAATCGCACGCAGGTGTCGAATAAAGAAAGAAGCCATCGTTTAAGCGGCTAATAGTTAACTAACAAGTGTGGAGAACCTGTTCATGGTTTCAGAGATGAGGTAAGAAATTTTGGTTGAAAACACAATTTATAGCTGGAGAATGGGTGGAACTTTTGAACATTGAAACGAATAAACAGGACGGTGGGAGGACCCAAATCAATAGTAGAAAACTCATCCAACGAGGCCGATTCAAGCTTCCCAACTCACTTACTGTATCTTGAACCTCGAAACAATTAAGGATCTATACGGACTGCGCACTTTCCAGTGACTTTCCAACCTGGTGGGATGTTCTCTGCGTCAAGTGCGAATGCCTTTTCAAAGAGTTCAGAGGAACACCCCATTTATGATCATGTACAGTACTTTGGATATCAGCAATTGGACTCAGTCTTCACAATAGGATTAAAATCCCAACCAGGAGAAAGAAAACAGCATATAGATTAAGTATTGTTGTCACGGAAGCTCTAAAGAATATGCATGCTTCATAAAGATTACATGTGATGTCATTAATTTTATAAAAGCTTGAAAACATATTAAAACGTATTGATTTGGATATTAACAGGAACATCAAATGACTGCCCAACAGTTCTCTTTCTGTGATAATGCTGTTTTTTTTGTTGACAATAATTTATAGGGTTATCTTCTGATGGTGTTATGATGGTTCTCTATATGTTCTCTGAATCTCTCTCAATTATTTTTTTGGTCCCTTGAACATTGTGGTAGGTTCCAACTGTTATGGTATATGTATATATATATATACAATATACTATAACAGTTGGAATCTATATTTCTCTTCACTGTTGCTTCATTCCAAAAGTGGCAGTTACAAAATCCTTCCACATGAAATATTTGCATTTTGGAATGAATCAATCAGAGTAATTATGAGTGAAATTTAAAACAGATTTTTCTAGTAGAAGTTTTTTATTCCAGTTTTGAAGTGGTTGGATGTGGGTAATTTCCGCGATAAAGTGGTTCACAAGAACTATATCCTGTACCACCATTTATACGGTGTTGAATGAAATTGCGTCAGAAAAGGATACAAGTAGTAGTGAAATCAGCTGATGTCATAGAGCTAATGTATCAAGCCAACATGCCGCGGCCCTTACATAGGTACAACGCCTATTTATTTTTGCTTACGTTTGGTCTTGAAGCGGTAACGTTCTCCTGGCGTGGGGCATCGCGGAATGATCGAATTGCGCTGATAAATTTTTTGAAATCTGTTTCCTGATTACTTCGTGAATTTACTGGAAAGTTTCTGAAAGATCTTTTATATAGTTCAGTACTAGACGCATATTTTTTTCCGGAGCAGTTGGTGGTTATTGTTCTGGACCATTTGAAACCGCGGAGACTTGCGTTGTGATCGGATTTATGATCCGAGCCGGGGAACTGAGTCTTCAGTCCAGTGCGCGGTGAAGCGTTAGAGGGTCTGCTGCCCGTTTCCAGCCCTTTCCGACGATATGATGCCTTGGGTGAAGAATCTGCAAGCGGTCGTAAGTACCGAAGTCGGTTGTTGTACATGTTGAAAGTCTGTTGTCAGAGCTGACATTTCAATTCTTTCGCATGCGAACCGATTTTCTTGCAACAGGTGAAGACCGTTGGAACGAAACTCGTTCCTTTTTTCAAGACTGTGGCCATTTACTTCGTTGTTTTCATTCCTGATAACCAGCCCAGTTGGTATGCAACTGTTCTCAAATGCTTACCGATTGTTTCGCTGATGTTCTTCGTCTTCTGGCACATGAAAAGCATTGGACAAAGGTTTGCCCACAGTGGTGAAAGTCGAAGAAAAGTTATCTGATCCTTATTTTTTCTCTTTCAGATGGACTTATTCCAGTTTAATTCTTGCTGGACAGTTTGCCTCCTGCATTGGAGATGCATGTCTTGTGTACGACGAATCGTATCTGTCAGGCATAGCATCGTTCGCTGTTGCCCAAGTCTGCTACATCAGCGCATTTAAAATTCGACCATTCGCGCCTCTCCTCATGTTATTGATGTCTGCCGTGCACTTGACTAGTAAGTTCGCCAAGTGAATTCAATGGAATACTCTCAGAATAACTTTCTTTACAGCATTTTATTTCATGTGGCCCGCGTTGCACGGAGCCCTGGTAATTGCGATGCCGGTTTACGGTATTTTGGTCACCACGATGGCGTACCGGGCTATTGATGAATTCTTGACGCATCCACCAAGGGTCTGATGAATTTTCATGACTTCGAATTAGTGGAGTCTGACGATCGAATTTGTGTTTCAGAATGACTGGGATGGTGGAAAACTTTGTGCTGCCATTGGAGGTGCATTGTTCGTTCTTTCCGATGCCATCATTGGACTGAACGCCTTCTATTCGCCCATTCCATACCACCAGGTTAGTTTCTTTTGGGTCTTGGGGCACATTGTAGCAAGATGTTATTTGCAGCAAACTTTGATTTGTGTTTCCCCGTATCAAGGAAATGTCCAGTTCCGAAAGGGAGGAATCCAAACTCTGAAATACTGTACAATGAAGTAATGTCTCTTGCAAAAGTGAAGTAGCAATATTTTTTCTTGCCAATTACAGGGCCCATCATTCGTTTTTGTTTTTGAGCAGAATGTCTTTCTTATTGTGAAAACAGCATTGCTCGTTGTTTTCCCCAGATTTACCTAGGAAAGAATGTACACCTTTGTATCAACAGAAGTGTAAACGCTTACCGTTATATGATTACCCATTTTCTTTTGTGAAATTTTAAAATTTACTTCAGAGACGAATCCAGGGCCCGAATATTGTATCTTTACTGCGATAAGCGCGCTCCACCTATCAATATGTCATCAGTTCAATGGGCTGCGTGTATTCGAATTATGCCGTAGTTCATGTGAAACTGGCTAAGAAGTTCATTCTTTCATTCATCGTAAGCGATTGATTTTATGCCGGCGATTTTTGCGGCACCCTTCCTGATGCAAGTGTGGTGCATTAAAGAACTGGTTGTCCTCATGCGAAATCATTCATCCCAACATGACTCTTCTACAGAAGGGGTTCTTTGCCCTCCGAGCTATACGCTATTGCGTTCAATGCAAAAGTGCACTTTATTGCTTCAAAAGCTTTCCATGAAAGTCCTGTTGCTGACATGATACGTGTAGAAATGAATTGCTACAATTCTGAAAAAGGTCATATTTTCAGGGATGCAATACTTTTTACCGTCCCTTTCTTGAGCTTTTAAAGCTGATATATCTGGGATAGATTATGATCCAACATATAAAATTAGGCTGTGGTTCTTTTAATAACTGCATCTTCTAATTTACATCAGTGATTCCAATTAAGGTTCCATTCATTCCTTGATTGACACCACTAAATTATGATCCAGTACCGCGTGCGCAGTAGAGGACAGGCTGACGGCTGCAGAACCCCATAACCTGACGAGCAAATGATAGAAACAAGTTCTGTCATTATGTTGAAGTATACTTTGGAACCCGTTATCACTTGGTGTATTGATTTTTCAGGTTCTCATCATGCTGACCTACTATGCAGCCCAACTGGGGATAGCCCTGAGTGTCATCGATTCCATGGAAATCTGTGAACCGGAAGCTTCCATTCGTACCAAAGTAAACTGATACGGCTGAAAAGAAACAATGAATTGAAATGGAGCAGCCTCCTGTTTGTGATTGTGTTTCACTTATGGTCTCTGTGCTACCGTACCCCTTTACGTGAGAGGTGGACATCGTGATTTTTAGGTGGCATTTTACATGGTAGAGCTGAATTTTTTCAGCAGTTGCATTCGTGGTGAACGAAAACGCAGAGTGTTGGTTTTAGAGGTACAATATCCCCGAGGCTTTTTTTTTTTTTAGCTGGAACCCGAAGAGGTCACTCAGGCGTTTTGGCCATTTTGGTGACGAGACACACAGTGCAATGGCGGAAGCTGCTCAACCATTCGTACTAAAGGATCTTTACTTTCTTTTTTTGGGAACCGTTTTTGGGTCTTGATACCAGGATAGACCACCGACTTGGGAAACGTTCAAATTGTATTTCATGCGGCAATATTTCTAGGCGCATTTACTGAAGAGTGAAAGAGAAACGTGTTCAGTGGGCAGTCTCTTTGAGGGTATCGTCATCGGTGAACGTAGGATTAGAATTATTTGATGTTTTTGTTCAGAATGAAACACACACGAAATTGAATGAAAAATTTAGATGTTACTTGAATGCTTGCGAGGTTAATTTGTATACTTCCCGTATTGGATTTAGTATCTCAAACCGTGTCTTATTTTTCAGAAAGATTCGCGTCGTGAGTGTCGCTATTTCACAATGAACATGTCTGTGGCATCGTTATGGATCGGAGACGTAAGTCCACTTGAGGTCACTGCGATTGTAATTGTGTAACCTATCGAATTCCAATCTTTCAGCTGACGGAATACATGGACGAAAATTTCCTGTCGCAAGCATGTTCTGCGATGGGTGAGTATTCCGTGCGTGGTGTGAAGGTGATCCGCCAAAAATTCACCGGAAAAAGCATGGGATACGGCTTTTTACAATTCAATGACGAAAGTGGCGCAATGGAAACATTGGCAAGATTGCAAGGAAAGGTTATTCCGAATACTAATCCGGTACGTTCAGCGTGATTTTCAGCAAAAATTGTTTACGGAGGCTTTTTTTGTGTGTGCTTATGATGGCTTTTTCATCTGATTCGGGTTCATTTTTCACTTTTGTAAATTCAAGTATTGTATATCGCTTTAGCCCGTGAGGTTTAAACTGAACCATGGGGTCTACAAGAAAACCGCTGAAAAAGAATTCTCACTCTGGGTTGGAGACATTGACAAGGAAGTTGGTGAAGACGAACTGTTCCGTGCTTTCGTTGCGAGATACACATCAATTCGAACAGCTCGTAGTAAGTATGATCTGAAGATAGAATTGAAATCCCGTGATTTTGAATCTATAAAATCATTTTTGAATCTGGCGTTCATCAGTTTTGGTCGTTTTGAGAGTTCTAGCCTAGAAAATTGTCATCACTAATTTATTCTCCTTTATTGAACACATATTCAAGTGTTTTTTCTTTTATCGAAGTCTAAGAAGCCGTTTTTGATTACAGTTCTCAGGTTGGTTACGGGTCAAAGCAAAGGCTACGGATTCGTCAGGTTTTCAAGCGAAGATGAGTACAAAGATGCCCTGGTTCAGATGAATGGTTATCGAGGGCTTGGATCTCGACCGATAAAGGTATGGAAAAGCTGAATTTATCTTTAGGTGCTATATATTTCTGCTTTGCGAGGAACTACAGTACCTCTTTTAAAAGACTGTACTCATCCTCATTTTCCGGCAATTTTGAAGTACTGTACTGTTCATTTTGGAAACTGGCTCAAGAAACCGACCCGTGACGAAGTGACAGGAATTCCTTTTCAAATGTGGGCTAACTTTAAATACTGTAATAAATATTGTTAAACTTCACGTATGGAAGAAATTTGGGGCTTGATTCTAGAAATTATATTTCGAATGAAAATGTCATGAATATTTGAAAGAGTGTTGAATGCTACACTTCGATGAATTTGGAACAAACATGAAAAATGACGTTATTTCCTGGCTGTTGGAAATTGTCTTTTGTAAATTCGGCATATTTTAATTTAGTGATCGTGAAGAAAAGCGGATGTGAATTCGTTGTACCAAAAACTGTCGGATTTTTTTTAGGTGTCCCCCGCTATTCCGAGGAAAGATGCTGACGGAAACGAGACGACGTTGCCGCCGACGTACGGATCTGCACAAACACATACCCCTGCAACGAGTTCATCCACACCAGCTACGGATTATAGCTACTATTATGATACGTCTAGCATGTGGAGTAACGCCACCGGATGGGAAAATTACGACGCTATGTCAGAGGCGTATTACGGTACCGCTGGCGTCGGGACTGCAGAGCATTACCAGGCACATAGTACAGTCGATCCTCAGGCAGCAGTTGTCGCCAACGGAACCGTGGCTGATGAAGATGACGAATATGCTTTGATCGGTGAGTTTGAAAGATTAAAAATGGTATTCCAATACAGTACTAAGAAGTTCGAGCAAATCCTCCGTTTTAACCAAGAACACTGTTTTTTCATCTCTTCTGCTGTGAATATAGCTCATGAAACTCCTTTTGATTTGAGATTTGTGCCTCGAAAGTACTGTACGCTTCATTTACCCATCAAGTTCGCGTATTACGGTGGTATGTTACTCCTTTCTTTCTCATACCATTTTCGTCGGCAATGAACGCTAGTCGTGAATAAATGTGTCCAGAAATTCGTATTGTAAATGCTGGGATTCATTCACGATTGCTGAAAGGCCATGGTGAACGTTAAACTAAAATGTTTACGCCCGCGAGGGTAGAGGCATGAAAAAATGGTAAATGCTATACGAGAGTGGCTCGAAGCATTTTTGGGTACCGGGTCATCCGCCAGTCGGTCAATTGACGGTCGCGCACCCGCCGGTCGTCAAGCGCCGGTCGGTCCAACCGCCAGCCAGGGCAGTTCTT